TATATATATATATACATGATTGAATTATTAGCGTTTAAAGCTCAAGTTAACACAAGAAACAATTATATTTCCATATAAATTAATAAAATTTAACATAAAATGCTTAAAAAGTTAATAAGTTGCTTAATTTGCAAAAATGGCTTTCATATTATGCCACATATCTCATGAGGACAACCTACCGCATGCGAGTCCCTTCGTTGCGAATTCTGTTTCAATGCGTAATTCTGAGTTATCCTTCCTTAATTTTTTCATATGGTGATACTTAAAAAAACATATCGATATCTGAATCTTCATGATTTACATTTGATTTATCTGAATGCACTTTTTTCTAAACTTTGAATTGCAAGCACTTTTCTATATGAATAGAACACTTATTAATTTTGTAAAATAAAACTCTACTTATGCCTTTGGAACAGAATTTTCTTTAAACGTATTTGTAATACTCTTTTTCATTATTTTGTATTAATTTAGGTCAAAATGTGTGAAAAATAATTATGAAAAAATGAGTGAACTTGCATATTAATAATTTAAGGTTAAGAAATACAACATGAATTTTCGGCGATATTTTATGCGTCGAAGGTAAATTCTTCCAATCATGGCTCACTTCCAAACACTAATTTTTCAAATTTGAAATTATTTTCAGTTATTTAAATCTAATCGAAATAGTAATTCATCTTTGAAATATCTTTAATTTGCAAAATCAATTATTAATGAGTTTTTGAATGTGAATGAAAAACAATTTCTACTCTTCCTTTTAAATTACTTTTTTATATTTTATATTTTAGTACAAATATAATTCCTATAATCTAACATATTTTTCAGAAACTAATAGACTCTTTTTACAATTAATAGATAGCAAAATATATTCTTATAAGAAACTAGCGCGTGAGAAAAAAATATACATAAAAGGGCCAACGGTGTGCCATCTGCCTCACAGGGTTGACCATTTAACGTACCTTACAATTCGCTATATTATTGTAACGCCAAGGTTACTTATGCAATTTTATTCTATTTTATATTTTATATCCGTCGTTGAACCGCCAACCCAGTTTTTGGGTTTCCGACTACTATTGTTCAACTCCATAGCCTTGTAATTTTGAACCAATCCAGAAGACAAAGAAACTCCTGGATCAGTGGCCCAGACTTATTGATTTGTTATGGTAACATGGAGGACTTTGCGGCTGGACAGATTTAACGTGCATCAGTCACCATTTAGTACACAGAGAATCTTCGGCCAGCGGGAATCGAACCCACGAACTCTTGGGCACAGCGCCCTACCGACTAGGCTATCCCGACCCTAACTTACGCATGCTAATTGGGGCAAGAGAGACCGAGTTAGCTTGGTAGGTATGACACTGAGCCCATGACCAGGAGGTCGTGGATTTGATCCCCACCGGCAGCTGGTGCATGTTAAATCAATCGGGTTACGAAGTCCACCGTGTTTCCGTTTTAAAAAAATCACATATATAGGGGGGGGTACTGATCGAGGAATTTCCTTGTCTTCTGGATTGGTTTAAAATTACGAGACTACGTAGTTGAACATTGATAGCCGTTAGCTCAAAAATTGGGTCGACTATTCAACGACGGTTATAAAATTAAAATAAAATAAAATAGGTGCAAGAGTATTGGTTACCTAATCTACAGATATAGCTAAATAATTTAAGGTGCGTAATATAGGTGTTGTGGTTATAAATTTGTCCCAGCTACTTAACCTTTAAATACCTATAAAGCAATATATAATCAGTCCAAGTACACATTTTTTTATTTTAAACTTAACATTATTAATTTTTCTTCTTTTTGTGTTAAATAGAACTGCAATTATGGTCCTAATTCTCTTCGAAGTATTTGCTACGATGATTGATTTTCGTATAAGTTCAATACACCCTGACGAGGAATACAGATCTACATTAAGTAAGTTGGGAAAAAACATGAAGTTACTTAAGCAAAAGCAAGTAGTAAGCAAAAAGTTATCTAAGTCTGAGTTTTAGTTGAGAAGTATTAGAAATTAAAAAAATTTCTAAGTTGTTGTCTCATTGAAGCATGTTTGAAAAATACCAAATCTACGACTATTTTCACACTATGCTTGGAGATATGTGTATGTAGTTGATGTGTGCGTTGTCAATGCGTACCCTATTGTTGTCAATACGTACCAAAAGTTTAATTTGAATTTGAAATATATTAATTAAAATCAAATTTTTAAGTAAAAATGGAAATCTTATTTTTAACAAAATGGTGGCATTGGTGAAAAAGTTATCTGTCACCAAACTTTCTACCGAAGACCTTTTTCGCAGTGTAGAGTATGTTATTTTTGTAACAACCATGAGTTCTAAACTGTTATTTGTAACTGCAAGATAAATTGAAAGCGAACCAGTGCCCCCTTTGCTAAAAATAAAAATGACTCATAATTTTAATATTGAATAAAATACGCAGTGTTTTTGTCATAAAAAACTTTTTCGAACTCACTTTTAATATTTTAAGATACTCCATCTCCTATTTATTTATGCGTATAAAAAGATGCGAGAACCAAAATTTATTCATTTATTCCTTGTCTTGTTGACCACCCTTAAGACGAAATAACTTGTTTTTTAAATTAAAAATTCGTTTCTTCCATTATGTTATTTAAAAAAGGGTAAATAATTTGCCCAATTAAAAGATCTTGAAATCGTCTTATTAAATAGTACTTTAAATATTTATATGGTTTCTCAGTTTCTAAAAATTATTCATTCATTTTATTAAGCGAGTATGAAAATGGATAGTAAAAATGTGAAGCCTTAACAGCACATCCAATTCTCCAAACTAGTGATAGAGCGTAAGTTTCTGACACAAGCAAATAAACTGATTTTCTTTTTTTTTTTTTAATCTTAATTTAATGTGACTGTTTAGAATTATTATTTAAGAAATGATTTTAATTATGTAACTAAATGTCACTGCGTCTTTTTAGAGCTTTCAACAAAATGTTTACTGAGTTTTTCATACCGAACAAATGCAATTCGATTGTTCAAAAGAGATGACAACCCAGATTCAATAAAAATATTTCATGGCATGAAATTTTTAACAATGGCATGGATTATTCTAGGACACAGCATTCTATATAACACTAATGTCCTTTGTAAGTACAATGTGATTGTCATTTTTATATTAAAAAAACGCTTTAACGTACTTTATGTTTTGTTTCATATTGTAAGTCTCAAAAGTGAGCTATTTTTACTTTTAATGTTCAAAATCTGATTTTCTTCTTTTCCTTTTTAATCAGCTATCTAAACAATGTGTTACTTTCTTTTTCCTCTTTACCTTAGACAAAAATTTTTGATGGTTTTCCATCGATGGTCTAGCATAATCTTGATGGTAACCATCAAATATTCCATCATGAACCATTATAGTTTTCGATGCTAAACATCATAAGTAACCATCAATCCAATGCAGGAATTCGGATTGATTTATGATGGTCCAACGTAAGAATAGTAACTTGTTTTGACAGTTTATTCATGCTGAACCATCTGAAATTTCCATCATAGTTTCCTATAAATCAAATGTTGGAATGATCATGAGCCACCATCCCCCTAATGTAGAAAATCGGACTTATTTACGATGGGCCTACATAAAAAAAAAATTTTTGTTGGTATAGCCCTGCTGAAGCAACAGGAATTATAATTAAACAATCAAGAAAATGCATTGTTGTGCCTTTATGAACCATCTCGAATTTCCATTATAGTATCTTAGAAATCGAATCTTTGAACGATCATGAACGACCATCATTCCAATGTAGGAATTCGGACTGATTTGATGGCCCAACGTAAGAATAGTAACTTGTTTTGACAGTTTATTCATGCTGAACCATCAGAAATTTCCATCATAGTTTCCTAAAAATCTAATGTTGGAATGATCATGAGCCACCATCCCTCTAATGGAGGAAATCAGACTTATTTATGATGGGCCTACAAAAAAAATTGTTTTGTTGGTATATTCCTGCTGAAGCAACAAGAATTATAATTAAACAATCAAGAAAATGCATTGTTGTACCATGGCCAACTAGAAGGGGAAAGGCCGGAGAACTAGCTTATGTTTACTTGTGACGTCACAAATTCCGTCCGACCGGCGAACGTCGCTGAAACGAAGACGAAGTGAAAGAANATGGTCTAACATAAAAAAAAAATTGTTTTGATGGCGTGTTCCTGGGAACCAACAAGAATTCTCATTAAGCTATCATAGAAATGTATAGATGGAACCATCATGGATTGTTTCTCCATGAGAATCAAACTTCTCTTTATAGCTAACCATCATAATATTAAAATATCATTTTCCCTCATGGAATGATGGAAGTTTGTAGGCAGCCGACCAGATGGCTGAGTGGTTAGCGTGCCTGACTGCGGAGCTGATGGTCACGGGTTCGAATCCTGCTCAGGGCATGAATTTTTCTTTCTCTCTCTCTGTTTGTTCTATGTCCTTTCTCCTTTGTGTGTGATTGTGTGAATGTGACCAGCCCTATAAACATGTTTGTGGTTGTATGACATGGGCGACGCTGCTTCACCGCAACGCCGTCGTCGATTCTCATTGGATTGCAAATTTCTTGATTTGCGCACAGTTTTTCTTTATCTGTCTCTATCACATATGAATTTGCTGTTGCAGTTTTATCTTGTATAATTTTGAGTTCCATGGCTTCCTTATAAACTATTTTACCGTTTTTGCTACACTTTTCTTAACTTGTACTCACTTTGACTCAATCTCTAATTAGTCACTGTATTATAGTTTGTGTGTTTTTAGATAAATTGTTCCTTCAATGTCCTTACAGCAGGATTTATTTCCTCTATTTTTATACAGTTCTTGTTGGTCTTTCTTTTTTACTTACGCCTTAGCTGCTGTATCATTCATATTTTCAAGTCGAGTATCTTTTCAAATTGATTTACAGTATTATTATGGTCTTACATTGTATTTTCACTGCACTTCTCTAGACTTTTACACAATTCTTATTAGTTTCTCCTTATTACAAACTCCTTAGCTTTTGTATATTTTACATTTTTGAGTACAGTATCCCTTTAAATAAATGAAAGTTATTATTGTAGTCTAACATTATATTTTACCAGCACTTTTCTTGACTTACATAATTCTTATTAGCCTGTCGTTTTTACAAATGCCTTAGCTGCTGTATATTTCATATTTTTAGCTTTAATATCCTTTTAAATAAATGATCGGTATTACTATAGTCTATATATTATATTTTACCTACACACTTCTTCACTTGTACACAATTGTTATTGGTCTGTCTATTTCACAAACGCCTTAACTGCTGTATATTTCATATTTGTCGGTTTAGTATCCCTTGAAATTAATATACTGCATTATATGCTCACAGTATTATTCATTTATTTCTGCACTTTTCTTAACTTGTTCATAATTCCTATTGGTCTGTCCTCTTTAGATATTCTTCGAATTTTAAAGCTCCTTTGCTTTTGATTAAATATAACTATTGTATTGTACTGTTTATCGGGAATAATTTTTTTTAGATTAATAAACGTTAGAAATATAATTCTAAAAATAAATCTATTTTTGAAACTTTATCATATTATTTTATTCATTTTACTACAGATGATAATCATTTTTATGCAGCTTATTTAATGTTTGTTTTCAGCGCGACTTTTAGATGGAGTAAGACTGGCTGGACGTTTCTTCTTTCAAATAGCAATAAATTCATTTGCAGCTCCCGACACTTTCTTTTTTATAAGGTATGATTGAGAATTATTTTACCTCAAAACCTATTATAATCTGCTAAAGTATATAAGCAAGTGTTTATCTGTCTTTTATTCGCGAGTACTCACTGTACACCTTATTGCGCACAGTTATATTTTGCTTACTGGAACTCATCTTCTTTAAATTTTAAAGTATTAATCTCGCTTATAAAATACTCTTTCGAAATTTTCAAATAAAGTTTCTATCATTCATATAATTCTGTGCCTTTTTTATAATAATGTAAAAATGACAGTTTTTAATTTAATTTTGCATCCCCAAGAAATTTCTAATTACTTTTTCATGTATTATTACAGCGGATTTTTGGTAGTCTATTCTAACATGAAGTTAAACCTGCCAAAGATACCATTTGTTTATTTTGTATTATATCGTTATTTGAGGTAAGTAAATCAGTATTCATAATTATTTCTGTTCATAAAATTCCTTTTATTAGTGCAAATGATTTTTATTACTTTAAGTATAATTTTTCAATTGTTTTAAGTATAATTTCAAGTATAATTTTTCAATTGCAAAAATGTTTCAATTCGCTTAGAAAGTTCTCGAAATATGGCGAAATACACAAAAAGCATAATTAACATGAAGGGATCCAAATTTTGGAGCTTTCTCTTGCCGAACTATTGGGAACATGTTTCCCAGTTTGACGCTGACCCTACGTTTTGGGAGTTAGAAACCCGAATCCGTCAAAAAAATTTATGTTTATTAGGATAAAGTACGTTTTTTTGTCTGATTTTGTAACTTAAAATATCGTCTGCAATAACTGATTAGCATATTTGAGGTCACCCTTTCGAAGCATTAAGATTGAGATTGAGTCCTAGAATGTGAAGATCTGATCATTAGATAAAATGGTATTCAGGATCGTCCATTTTTTATGGCCCTCAGTACAATGAAAAAAGCCAAATTTATCGAACATTCATTTACTCTAAAAAATGTCCTGTCTTAAATGAGTAGTGAACTAACTTATTACGAAAGATCAGTCAATTAAGGCTAGCAAAAAGTATAATAAAATTTCGGTGTAAGTTTTATTCCTTATTTTTTTTTTATCTGCATAGAAACTTATTACTCCAATCTGGATCCGAAGCGAAACCTTAATTAACAAAGGGTTCCCCGAAATCTGGACATGGTCATACAACAAAGAAATGTTAACATTTTGCTTACGGCTGGTACAACATGTGGCACAATATTCAAAATTTAATTTATTTATTTCTTTAACAGACTGGTGCCACCGATTATGTTCATAATAGGCGTCTGGATTCTTTCTGCAAGCATAGATCAAGGACCCTTGTTTAAAGAGCATGTTTTTGAAGAGTTCATTGATCACTGTGACAAATTATGGTGGAAAAATATTTTATGTATCAACAATTATAGTGGAGTTGATGGTGAAGTAAGTTATCTATAGTACTAATATCTTTACTTCCGCGTAATACAGATTTTAATTTTAGTTATTTAAATGGTACTTGAATATATTAAGCATCAGAAACTCTACGTGCGCGTAACTTGAAAGGATAATGGCCTAACATTGCTGTCAGCTAACATCTGCATAACATCATTGTTATAGCCACATATTTATTAGCCAGAAAATAAAATCATCGGTGAATGTTTTGAACACAGATTAAAATATTAGTTCATATATTGAACATGGCTCAAAAAGCGTTTTTAAGAAAATGGGCACAGCTCTAAAGACGTTTTTAAGAAAATGAATGCAGTTCAAAAAGCGAATTTAAGAAAATAAATAAAGTTCAGAAAGCGTGTTTAAGAAAATAAATACAACTCAAAAAGCGTGTTTTAGAAAATGGACACAGTAAAAATTATGCGATTTCAATGTTCAGCCAAAGTTTTACAATTACACAAGGAGTCTCATACTAACTTTTCCTTACTTTAAGCATAATCAATTCCCAAGCATTAAAATCGGAATGATCTTTGAAATAAAATGAATGCAGTTCAAAAAGCGAATTTAAGAAAATAAATACAGTTCAGAAAGCGTGTTTAAGAAAATAAATACAACTCAAAAAGCTTGTTTAAGAAAATGGACACAGTAAAAATTAAGCTATTTCAATGTTCAGCCAAAGATTTACAATTACACAAGGAGTCTCATACTAACTTTTCCTTACTTTTTTTAAGCATAATCATTACCCAAACATTAAAATCGGGATAATCTTTGAAATAAAATGAATGCAGTTCAAAAAGCGAATTTAAGAAAATAAATACAGTTCAGAAAGCGTGTTTAAGAAAATATATGCAACTCAAAAAGCTTGTTTAAGAAAACGGACACAGTAGTAAAAATTAAGCTATTTCAATGCTCAGTCAAAGTTTTACAATTACACAAGAAATCTCATACTAACTTTTCCTTACTTTTTTTAAGCATAATCATTACCCAAACTTTAAAATCGGGATGATCTTTGAAATAAAGCTATGCTTCCCATTGTCATTACTGATTTGACAAAAGTGTTGCCATTTTGTGAGAAAGTTTTTTTTCCCTAATAATGTTGTCTCATTGAACAAAATTATGCTCAAATCCTTAGAGTGATCCAATTCTATTCCAATACTATGTAATTAAAAAAAGAAATTCACATTTCGTTTTCTTCTAATATTTATTTGTTGTGGATATTAACTCTATCCATCGGTTTCTTTTATACTAGTGTATGCCCTGGACATGGTATATAGCAGTGGATCTCCAGCTTTACGTATTGTGTTATTTTCTCTTAAATATTTTAAGAAGGTAAGTAACTTCAAATTACTGAAAAACACTTCATGCTTAATTTTATACACGGTTGGAAATTTCTCGGAAATAATGGTTAAACAACAATTTATTTTATATTTTATCACATTCAAGCAAAACTGTCAAATAACCATAAATAAAATGGTAACCAAACTATTAACAGAGAGAAAAACCAATTATTAACTACTTTCTCTTGATACGGTCAAACTACAAGAATTTTATCGCACCAACTAAGCCCACCTAATTAATCCACTTAGTTCCTTGCATCTTCCCGCAGATTTCAGCCTAGAGGGCTAATCTGTCAGTCTCATGACAACCAAAACAACCCAGCGTTGACACCCACAATATTTTCTCCATTTTCTACGACACATGAAGAATTTCCAGTGTCCTGCACTCCCCAATTTGGGTCCCGCACTCTCCGATGTCCGTTGCCTAGTGAAAAACCTAACTCCTGTATCCAGTTTTTAAAAAAAAAATTACGGTTTTGAAACCATACTAGTTGTAAATAGTTAAAAAAGTCGCATAACTTTGTATTCATGGTTTTATAGCCATACTAGTTATAAACAGTTTCAAAAACGTAAAGGTAAAAATGTTCTTTACCGAAAATTTTTCGCTCAATCAGCTGGACAAACTGCTGCCGGTCATTTAACCATAATTTCAGAATAAAAATTCTAACAGTGTAGAATAATTCAGTTAGGAAAAACATTTATTTAAAAATCATTTTGTGCAAATAGTTTTTTATACAGTAGCGAGAATATTAATTGAATAATAGATAAACTGAACGTATTTCTAAACGTAACTTAGAACGTAAACTTCAGAAGCAACTCTGTAAGAATTTAAGTAAATGAATATGTTTTGGAAGTATTTTCCATACAACGACTTAGATTCTTGTCTAAAGCTTTAATGAAGAACTGAATTTATTAGAAAACTAGATTGTATGTTAGACTAGACTAGAAAATAGTACTAACCCCTTCATTCTCGCTCCCGCGAAAATGACGGGGTGAGGTTTCGCCTTCTATTTCTCGCTCCTCTGAAATTTCCGTTCAGTAGTAACGAGCCAATAAGAATAAAACTAATTCATTTCTTTTGCCCGGAACACATTTTATTTCTCATTTTACACACCAGATGACAGTACCAGGATATTTTTAAAGTAATTGTAGATACTTAGTTTTTCTTAAACTAGATGTCAGCACTAATCAAATACGTGTATTTGCACTTTTATGACAGTTTTCTTGAAAATTAACCGATCGTTAAGGGGTTAAGAACACTAGAAAATAGTATTTAGAAACTGATGATACGTAAAGCATCAAAATCTCTCGTCTGTCTAGAATTAAATTGATAGGAAGAATTCCCACTCAATAACAAAAGTTCTCAAAAATCCCTCTCGAAGAAGCAAATTGAAATTGTTCAGTAATTTTTTTGTGCGGGACTGAAATCCCTTCTTTCACCCACTGCCAAAAATTCAGTGGAACACAAGCACAGACTGTTTTAGAGGTTTAAGAGAGATGCACACCCAAACTCTTCCTTTAAATTATCATAGATAGAAAGGAAATTGGCTAAATTTAATTTTATAGTTTAAATAGTTATAATTACTTGATAAGTTTTGAGTGTTGAAGGATAATTTTAAAAACTGTTTATAGTTTATTCTTCTTTTTTTTTATTCAAGAACAAAATGATTCCTCGTGCACCACTGAAAAAGTACAGTAATTTATTCATTCAAATAAATAATTCCAAGAAATTGAAGCAGTGAGATATTACCTGATTGAAAAGCTTCTTTCGCTTCAAAAATGTACAAAAAGGAAACAACAGTCTACGTGTTTTAAGCGCATCAGATATGGATGCCCTTTTTAAAGTTTCGCCTGACGTGAGTGTAAGAAAAATAAACTTATTTAAAATAAAAAATTAAAGTTCCTGACGAAAAATTGAAAATAATGATGAGAAACAAAGACCAGTTAAACCAAAAGAGAGAAAAAAATGAAAAGCAGAACAAAAAAAACACATTGGCAGAGAGGCAAATCAGCGTTATGGGGAAGAGGGAAGGAACTAATGTCGTTATAAAGAGATTCAGCATTCAAATGAATAAAGTAAGATTCCCGGGTATCAAGATGAGCTGATGTGACTGGGGTGGAAATATTTTTAGCAAAATCTGTAAAACCAAACCAAAATCTGCTAGTTTGTAAAACCAAAAAAAAAAAAAAAATTATACTTCATTTTAAAAAAATCCGGAACGAGCTTACAATCATAGTGGCAAGTGAATTTGTATTTCTAAAATACACTGGTTATCATAAATTAAGGAAAATTCACAAAAATCGCNTCGTAAAACCAAAAAAAAAAAAAAAAAATTATACTTCATTTTAAAAAAATCCAAAACAAGCTTACAATAATAGTGGCAAGTGAATTTGTATTTCTAAAGTATTTTTATAATTAGTTTTACTTTATTCACAAAAATCTTAAAAGTTTTTCTTAATTCTGAAGACAATAATCATGGCAAGTAGTGTAGAAAGTGGTGTAGTTTTTGTAACTTGAAAAATATTTTTTAAATTAATTTTACTCTATTTATAAAAATCCGAAAGAAATTTTATTAATTTTGAAGATAATAAATAGTGGCTATTGTTTTTGCAATTAATTTTTTTAAAAATAAGTTTATTTCATTTTCAGAAATCCAAAAAGAGTTTTATTTATTCTGAAGACAACAGTAGTGGCAAGTGTGTTTTATCTAATGGCGTATTACGTTCATTACGACTTACCTCCTGTACCCTTTTTGATATACATCGCTCCAAAGTAAGTATATGAAGGGTGTTTATCAATAACTACCCTTCACTTAATACTATGAGTGTAATATCACGCATATCAAAGCTTAATGTTCCCTAATTGGATTCCTGCAAGCGACGTCATCGCGGTTAAGTCGTGGCATTTGTTTATAGCACGATTCTGAAGAAAATCAGGAACGACACACAGTAACCAATAAAATCTGGCCTGAAAATTGAGTCAGTGTTATAATAGACCAAGCCTTATTGCTGTAACGTTAAACTGCTAAACTCAACCACGTAAGTAAGTGCAATCATGCGATTATTTAGGCCTAATGACGTATTCTTATTCTCGAGTTACAATTATTCAATTCAGTAACAACCATTCAATTTTAATTCCACGTGGTAGTTTTTTCCGATACAAATTTTTCTAATATATATCAATCACTATTGGTGACGTGGTGACATCGTTTTTGAGCTTTTGTTGTTCAAAGTGATGACATATTAACAGAAATTACAAATACCCAATTTTTGTATGGCATTGTCAGTATGGTCTTGCATTTGTTTTATTCGTTACCGTCGTTAAACAGTTGACGACTACAAGTGTTCAACTCCATAGCCTTATAATTTTGAACTAAACTCAAAAGACAAGGAAACTTCCGGATAGTCAGAAATTCGCTTTCGTTGATGACTTTTTGATGAAACTAACACGCATCTACGTTAGATGTAGAGAAGGAATCTGAGCACTCCCCCGGTTAGTCTAACGGCAAGGGGACTCTGACCCATGATCTGTCTACCTCTGAGGATATTTTCAGCACTGTGGTTGGTGCAAGCCAACGGTGGGATTCGAATCGACCAACTGTCGCTGGGATTTGAACATGGGACGCGTCATTATGAGACGAGTGCTGTATCCTCTAAGCTATCACCGTTCTTCTTGCGTTTTTTTTCTTTTTCGTATCATTCAGTTTTGATGTGCATGACTTTAAAATCCCCTTTTTTTAAATAAATTTTATATAGATAAGGTAATTGTCACCTTATCTATATAATTTCCGATTTTAATAACATAAGCCACAAGTTAGTAATCCGACTATTGTTTCGATCTATTACATGCTTCAACAAGTTTACTAAATTAAGCTGTTTTAGTATCTAGTGAGCAAGAGAGAATGAATTCTACGAAACAATCCAGAATAAACTATGACAGCTGCTCTGGGGTTCGCGAACAAAAGTGATCATGCGAGTGGTATGGGCGTAATATGAATGAAAAAGTACAAACACGATTTGCAACTTTGACCATTCACATTTTATGTCAATAAGAAAGAAGAAATTCATTTATATCTGATTAATCAAAGGATTAAGCTTAAAGATGGTTATTTAAAAAAAAAATATGCTAGTTCCACAAGACAAATAAACTAGTTTTTGATATTTTTATCTCCCCGTAAGTCTCCTTCACCTCGATAATGATTGGTAAAAGTTTGGAAACTCATTTTTTTCTCATTAAATTATTAAATCTATATGCCATTTACATTAATTTTTTTTTTTATAATTCTAGAAATATACAATAAGAATACCAGAGAGTTTCAAAAAAGGTAAACTGATTCTCTAAGAAAATGAATAAGAAATAACAATATAAGGAATAAACAGGACTTACTTATTCTAAAAGCTCTGTTGTAAAAATTATGCTGGGGAGATAAGTTTTTTGTTGCATTTATACAAATACTTGATCTTGCCCAGTTCGTGCGTTTGAATTTCAAATCCGAAATAAGTTTTGCTCCTAAAGTTACAGATTTATTCTTTAAATTACATTTTAGTCTATTTTCTGTCGAAATGTACAAGTTTAAAAGCGTTTTATACAACAGGGGGTCGTGTAAATGTTACGACAAACTTCTAGAGGAGTCAGAGCTTATCGTCAGAATTAGAATTGCTTATAAATCCTTGCCCTGAAGCGTTGTCGCAGGCAAATAAGTGCACGTCCCTATTATGATCTGCCCAGAAGTGCACGAAAAAGACAGGTCATAATGAGGAATGCGCAACTAGCGGCGTATGACAACATTTTCCGAAATGGGTTCCTGTGGAAATTTAGTCCTGATGATGTACCGCAACTCCCCCAGCAGTCCATCGCAACTATCATGTGACCCCCTATTATACGCAGCGTTTTTAAATTTGTACATTTTGACAAAAAATAGACTAAAAATGCCATTTAAAAGGAACACAGCAGTTTGGAGAGACATACTGATTGCATACTTGAAATCAGAAACATGAAAATATCCAAGATCCGCTAAAAAACATCTCTATAACAGAAAACAAAGAAATTATTCCCCAGTGTTATAATTGTAACCGATATGCACATCACTGTAATAATATTCAAATCATAAAACAAGCAAGAGAAAAGTAACTGAACACCACTAGCAGAAACCTTATTTAAAATCATCTAAGAGGCGTTACAAGATGAATCTCCGACACTATAGTTACTATTTTATTTTATTTTATAACCGGCGTTGAGCAGGCGATCAAATTTTGAGTTTACCACCACCAATGTTCAACTCCATAGCCTTGTGATTTTGAACCAAATGCAGAAAACAAGCAAACTCCTGAATTGGGAGAAATTCGCCTTCGCGGAGGATTTTTCAATGAAACTAAGTCGCATTAGCATTGCATTGAAAGGAAAATCGCTAAGAACTCCCACGGTTTGTCTGATGGCAAAGGAACTCTAACCCATTGATGATATTTTAAGTCAGCACTGTGGTTGGTGTAAGCCAGGTGTGGAATTCGTGTCGACCAGCCATTGCAAGTATTCGAACCCAGGTGACCTGGTAGGGAGGAAAGCTCTCAATCCATTGAGTGACCCTGGCTCTAGACTTACTATAGTTGTACTCAACTACTATATTCACACACTTACTACGCTATAGTGTAGGTCTCTATAGTAACCGACATCGCTATTCTACATAGAGATCGTATAGAAATCGCTAAAATAATGGATTGGCCTATTTTTTTTAGGAGCAAGTAGTGCTTTGCTTCGGCAATTGCGATGAACTGAAAACTATTTCTCAGTTAACTGGGGCTGTATGTCGCTAACACTTACTACTGCTGTATGAAATGAGCAAACCAGTGAACCTCAGCTAGAGATCATCTCGTGACAGCTAGACAGTATTTTACTTGCAGTTAGCAATAAATAACTTATTTCTACGAGCCTAAATTCTCCATTGTCTCATTTTAGCGTTATTAGAACAAATTTAATAAACAAAAGAAGTTAAATATTCTGAGATTCATTATAAATTTATCGCATTATTTGTATAATGAATGTAATAATGAATGAGGTAATATCCGTTATACATGTAACTAATTAGGAATATTCAGATTACAATCTTGCTACTTATATTGTATAATTCGTTCCATTTCCATTGTATAATTATTGCATTTAATGTGATGAGGTTCTACACTAATTTTGAGTAGCCATGTGCCATATGTAATGTGGTACGTATTTTTTACAGTTTCAAAGTTGCTTAAGTTAGCATTGCAAAGTGCTTTGAGTAACGCTTTTTTTTAATCTTGGCCATTTTTTGATACATTTTTTGTTCCTTTCTAGAGGGAATTTAAATCCATACTTAATATTTTAATGGATAAAATATTTAGAAATACTTCTCAGAACATTAGTTTTATTGGAATAAGCAAAAACTAGACAAACAGTTAGCATTGTTTTATATTTCTGAATAAATGAATAAATTATTTTTGTGTTAATATTTCTCTTTTAGAAGGAAAAGGGCGCACAGCATAGCTAATAACGGTACTTAAAAGATAGTTCTTTATTGCTTTATTTTGACTTATAAAAATCTATAATGTAACTGATTATAAGTTTTATTAACTTAAACTAAAGAATTGACATGTAGGAATTATTTGTGTGAAAAAATAAACACAATCCAGTGCAACTTGTGGTAATAAAAACAGTTTACACACACGTTAATTAATACTTCACTGTCAGTACAGAATTTTCTTATTAATAGCATCTGTATACTTCTGATTTGAGCTTATTGAGTTGTTTACACTTACAGGATTACTTGAACATTTTTTAATAACATTGGTTTTATTTGCAGAGCTTCCTTGTACTATACAAAAATAGCACACGTAAGACCAGATCCACACATCGGTTCTTACTGTGTGGGCATTTTGATGGGTTACTATATTGCCACCCAGAAGAAAATAAACTTATCGAGGGTATGTATAGAAACTGCTTAAATCAATTTTTCGTATATTGAATATCAACCATTTGAGAAATATTTGAAAATATACAGTGATGAATGTAATAAAGTGACAACGCTTCAGATGCTATTTAGTTTTTTTAAAACTTAGATCCCTTCCCTCTCACTTCCGTCAAAATCATGGGATGAGATTTTGTCTCCTATTTCTGGTGCTTTTTTTATTTCTTATTTTACACACTCGGTGGCTGCATCAGACTATTTTTAATGTAACTGGAGATAATTGTTTAATTAACTAGATGGCAGCACTATCCAAATGTATGTATCCTGTGACATGTATTTCACACTCTTATCTCAGCTACCTATGCTGCTCTTGGTGAATACACGAGGTTTATGTTCTGCGATAAAATATTTTTCAATATTATGTATAGTGAGCGAAAATAAAGATATCACTCTGAATAACTTTCGTTCTAATGATCGAATTTTCACGTACTAAGTGTCAATCTTATTGGTTCCAGGGAGTAGCCGCAAATATGCTAATTATTTAGCGAAAATTATTAATTAATGCTAATTAATGCAAATATGCTAATTATTAGCGAAAATTAAAAGTTGCGACATCAGACTCTAAAACATACTTTCTCTGAATCAACATATATATGTTGCATCGCCACCCTAGCGCCACCTGTGAGTAAGCAGACTCCCTTACATTCTCTCACTGAACGGCTACGGGGAGCGAGCTCATTAAGATGTTCCAGCTCTAATTATTTTGTACTGCCATTTAAGTGTTTTTTGTCATAATAAAAGCTTTAAAATGCAACCCTAGACTGCTTTGAAGCTTCATCGACACTCCNAAAAAAAGCTAAGTTTGTTAGCATAACTAGTAATAAGACATATATTCTTAATAATTAAAAATAAAATATAATGTATAAATGTGCGTTTGCAGAACAGTACTTCATCAAGGGACACACTGCCTGCAAACACGCAGGAGCTTTTCTGTTGTTAGTGGATTTAACCAAAACTAACAGTGCAGCGAGGCCTCTTAATGAAAAGACAAGAAAAAAACTTTTACCACAAATTAATATCACTATAAATTTGAAAAAGAATCACACCTAAAAGGTACAAATTTTAAATCAGCAATTGAATGAAACGCCTCCTTAGACCACAATATAAGTAAATCTAAGCAAAGTAACAGTTACAGTTAATAAAAGTGACAATATTAAGTATTCCGAATCAATAAGAGAAAAAAAATTAAGTGCTGACACCTGTGAAGGAATTCCTGAAAAGTAAAACTTCTAATCATTGAGCAATAAGCATCCAAGTGCTGCCATCTGTTTTGGAAAATGAAATATATATAGATAGATAGATAAATATTTACATATTTGGATTCTTAACCATCAAAATATAGGGAGTACCCGCAATCTGGGAAATATGGTCCCCATCGTTTGGTTAGGAGAGTGTTCCAAGGTTGGGACTCCTTAACGTTAATATCACTTTCTGCGTTTTTTCTCATATTTTTAAAACTAATTAAGCAATTCCAAAAAAAATTTCCCTCACCCGTAAAACCCGTTTACCCAAAGATCATTTCATGCAAAAAATAATTTTTAATAATTATTTATATTTTTTATATTATTTAATTTAAATGAGGATGAAATATTTTCGAATAATGAGGTGTAATTTTTTTATACCACACTAATCTTCATATTTTTCTATTGAGAAATATAAAGTTTCAACTGTTTTTATTAAGTAAAGGCCGAGAAAAATTTAAAATTATTGTTATTTTAGAAAAAATAATTTGGCTATAATATAAAAAAATGACGATGAAGTAATATTTAAATGGGGCAATTAATATTTAAATGTGGTTAATTTACACGGGCGCGAGGTAGCATAGCATTGCATTAATATTTTTTTCGCTAATAACCGATTGCTATTTTTATTGTAAAATATGTTTCTTTTCAGTTGTCTATTGAAGAATGAAATATTTTATTGGGAAAAAAGAAACATTTTATTTAACGAATGTCAAGTTTTATAAAAGCATGTTTCCGATAGAATGTCATCATCCGATTGTGTTTATGTATAATGGGATTATATTTTATTTCTTAGTTTGTTTATTCAATAATTGATACAATTTCAATAATTACAAATTCGTATGCATAGATTTTGAATGATTATGTGTGGGCAAGGGCTAATCGACAATGCCAACCTTCATCTATGAAAAGGTACCCCATCATAGGAATCAAGTTGTCATGTCTTACATACTAGTAAACTGGAATTATATATTTGTAGTGGTAGATGTACTACAGCACTTCCCCACCAAAATTATATCTGCAAAAGAATTCATTGAACGAATACCACTAGTTGATTCATTGCTGTTTTGTGAGAAGCCGGGAGAGCTGTATTAAGATTACCGTACTTTTTGAGTGCTGATCGTGAGAGCTGCATTAAGTTCATGGTCGAGGTCGCTCTTGTGTTGCCATTAGCAGTCGAGTGAATGTGTTGTATGTTATGTGTAATCGAAACTGAGTAGCAACGGCGCGAGGAGGTGGAAAATGTCGCAGTCACAAGTAGCCAGTCAACTGTTCAATGTGTATCATCCATCTAAGTAGGCGTGTTCAAATCGTAGTGGGTGTTTCTGCCAAGGTAGGCGTGTTCATATCGAGGGGGGAGTTTCTGTCAAGGTAGGCATGTTCACATCACGTCCGGGACAACAATGTGGGGCGAGGGCTAATCGACAATGTCAACCTTCATCTATGAAAAAGTACCCCATCATAGGAATCGAGTAGACATGTCTTATATACTAGTGAATTGGAATTATATATTTGTAGTGGTAGATGCACTACTATATGTATATTAATTTCTTCAATCTATATTTTACAATATACTAGCTGAATACCCGCTCTTCGCACGGGGAGAGTAAAAAAATAATAATAATCCATAAATCAGTATTGACAAACACTCATGCTCAAAACTTAAAATCGAAACGAACGCGAAGATGTTTAAATTATTTTAAAAGTTTTACTTATATTATTTATAAGAAATGGCAACTTTTTTAGCGCTACAGCAAGCCAATCAGCGAAATCAGTGATTTTGCTGAATTATAATTTTTCTAAATTTTAAGCATTATAGTCTAATTTTCTAATTTTCTTAACCCGTTGAATACCACGCTAATTTTACATGGCTTGCTCGTCGGGCCACACGGTAAATAACTACAACATAAGTTTGCAAATATGGACAGATTTTCCTAGTTTATAAAAGGTTTAGCATGACATATCTGAAAAAAGTGGTGAATTATATATGCCTACGAATTGTTTAAAAATAGTGGTGAATAAAAATATACTAAAGTGAATTTATTAAACCACGAATCACAATAATTAAGTAAATTTTGAATAAATTTTCTGCAATTCCATAAAAGAGTGTAAATTTTATAGTTCTATATCATGTTAGTCAGCTGCTTTTCGCGGTCTATGTGAAAAGTCAGTGTCAGCAAGCGGTGACAGACGCAGCCTAAATGTATTTGCAGTGTCTGCCACCGGTGGTTGACGCAGCCTAAATGCAGTTTCAGTGTCAGCCACCGGTGGTTGAAGCGGCCTAAATGGAAAGTCCAGAGTCAGGCACCGATGGTTGAGGCTGCCTAAATGGAAAGTCCAGAGTCAGGCACCGATGGCTAACGCGGCGCTCAACGTTTTAAGCTATTAAAAATGAGATCTGGAACAAAGCGAGATACGACATTTCAAAAAGAAGAAGAGTTGGTTTTGGGCTGACGAAGTTAAAATCTGATGAAATGATTTATTTTCTATCTCATAAATTGCTGCTCTGAAATTATTTTGACATACAAATTCCCTTTTCTTTCAAAAAGTTCTACACTTTCTTCATACTAAGTGAATTTATCTGAAATTTCGAAAAACAATCATCTCTCCATAAGCAGTCACAAAGCCATTAGGTCTATTAGATAGTCTGGCAGATAATTTTGAGATTTTGCAGCTGGCTCCGTTTCTAAGGCAGCTAAAACTGTTACTGTTATAAAACGTAACAAACAATTGCGAAGTGTTAAAGGTCTTTAGTCTTTTTTTCTCCTCAGAAAGCCTCAAAATCCTAAAAAACATGGTTACTTCATCACAGCATAGGCCTCAATCGGTAGGTAACAAGTGAAACTTAGGGAAAAACATATTGAGGCACCCTCAAGTATATTTTTCCCTAAGTTTCCCCCTTGGCAAAATTGGCGACTTATGTTTGGCGCTATTCCTGTTTGTGCGGAACACCGTGGTAACAGGAATGGCGGCCAAAACATAATGATATTTTAATAAAACATTGGGAAATTTCAACAAAACATCGGATAAAGCTTGCAATCAACCCAATGTAAGAAAAATTAATAAATCCATTAAAAAGGATTTTGAATCGAAGCAAAGATTAATGGAGTAGGCGCAGAAAGAAAAGAAAAAAAATTCCTTTCTTCATTAAGCTTGAATATTCTCATATTTAGGTGCTCAGAATTATCTAATAACAGTTAGATACTGTCTAAATTTATCATGAATAGAATCTGTGTTCCTCCTTCGTCACATAAATTCGACGAAATACGAATCGAAAATGGCGTCTGTAATACCGGACTAGCGGTGACATTTTTTTCTTAAATCCCTTTTTATGACTGCCCACATACCTTCGATCTTATTTACCAGATTCAAAAGTAACCTCGCCAGCCGGTATCCAACGTAGAACTAACGGACCTCTGAAATTGCAACCGTTGAAAATTTAAAAATAACGCTAAAACCTAAACCAATCAGAATCACGATTGGGTTTCAACATCGCCCAGCTTGGCGATCAACCGCGATCACAACGTGGCGAGAATCAAGGGGCACCCTCAAATATAGTCTACCCGAAACTTATTGCGTTACACAATTCATTGAACCATATTGGAGGATATTATTTCGAATTTAATGTACACAGTTATCCCTAACAGTATTTATATAAACAATAAATTGTATGCCTAATGTTTCATTATTTTTGCTTTCATGTCTCAATAGTCGAAAATATTTATTGGTTGGTCCCTATCAATTCTGTTTGGAGGATTCGTCGTCTTTGCAACTTATTTATGGAACTCAGGACGCGTTGCTACTACATTGGAGTCTGCGTTGTATGGTGGATTCCATAGACTTTTATGGTGCTTAATGATTTCATGGATTACGTACATGTGCATCAATGAAAATGGAGGTAAATTTATAAAATAAATTTAGAATTTTTTTTTCTTAATAGACAGATTCAAAATTTATATATTTGAGATTCTCGATGAAAATGACATGCATGTTTGAATAGAATTTTAATGATGAAAAATCAGAAGGATATAAAATGAACAAATTGGGTTGAAGAATCAAGCATCAAATTAAATACTGTAATTTTTCAATCATTATTGAGATCAATGCGAAGCTTTTAATTCCAACTGTTAATAGCCATGAATTTAGACGTATAAAAAATTCACTACTGCGCAACAATTTTGTAACACCCCATTAAAAAATCTCTCTAATAATTTTTTTATTTTATCATTTATTATCGCAATGGTAATTTGCTTAGTTTTCTAATTTTCCGTTTGACAGACGCAAGAAAATTCTTGTTATTTTTTTTTTTTTTTTTTAAATTTTAGTGAACATTTATTTCTTCAATATATAAAAAAGTAAATAAAAGAAATGAAATTTAAAAAATTGGTGGAGGTTTACATTTTTAGCAATTTTTTGCTTGCGCCCAGCTAAGCAAAAGGTAACCTCATTTTCTTCTAATTTTTAATTTAAAAAAAATATGCACAACAAATTTACAATTACTAAAATTATACAACTACAAATTATATTCCTTAATCTCCGCTCTTACTCTACATTTTTATTAGTCTTCACAAATACGAAATCAGAAAATATGGACATTAGGAATCGCAATGTAAAACTTAACAAAAGATAAAGAACAAAAGCCATAGCAAAATCAGTCGAATTACTATTAAAAAAGGCAAAATTAAACACAAAAAAACTAGTTTAATCCGCATATTGAAGTTGGAGATTTTCTAATAGTTAAATTTGTTGGAAGTGATATGGAATAGTTATTTGATTATCCTTATTAGATAGTCTAAAGAATTAATCACATGAGTATTTTACTCTTGAAATGAAAACTTCACATTCTTGCTTGACAACAAAACTTTATAAACTTTATTTACATGCACACCGCCACACTGGCTGTTCGGGTCGTTCTGAAAAATAAGAGTTGAATTTACTTGCACTCAGTAAGTTTTCATTGAGGACTTTATGACCTGCGTCGATAAGAATTTCCATAATCCCTTGTCAATATTTCTATGATAAGTCTAACCTGCTGTAACTCTCTAGCTAAAATTAGATATCTGAACACTAACTCAGGTAAGCTTTAATCGCTATTTTAAATTTACTGAGATGAAGAAAATTCAAAAGTGCACAAAACTTGCTCATTTCTTTCTTTAAAAGTTGAGAACTTTAATGCTATTTTTTTTAATCCAATTAAACNTTTTCAAAATATATGCTTTGTGAGGGAATTGCAGGACCAGTTGGTGAGCGCTTGGTACCAGATACCTCAGACTTGTGGAATCGATACCATGGCGTGTGCTAGCAGTTTTGAGGGCTAAAGGTGGTCCTACTTGTTATTAGCAGGGTGGTCATAATGTAATTGCTCTTCGGTGTATTTGTTTTATTTATTTCTTTAATTAAATCGATGATTGAACCTTATTAAACTGTAAAGAGATGTAAAGAAGATAAAACAAGCAGTTTTTTTGTAAGCATTGAAATTTTTTTAATGTGATTTCAATTGTTAATTATATTAATTTTGGGTAACTCCAGCAATGCATCATTTGTACAAAAGTTTCGGTTATTAAACTTTGCTTAAATATTGAAGAATAAATTTGATGAAATTGAAAACAAAAATTTTTGAATCATTGGTCTTACAATATTTTCCATAATTGTTTTTTTTTTTCTGGATTCGGATTTCTAACCCCCAAGACATTGGGGGTAGTCACAATCTGGCGATAGTTTGGTCAGAAAAGCTGTCCAAAGATTGAACTCCTTCATGTTAATGTACTTATGCTTATTTCACCATATTTCGAAAACTTTTAAGCTAATTGAAAAATTCTGCGCACAATTTTAAAATTCGATTATCCAAATATAATAGCTGACAAAAAGTAGGTTTAAATAAAGATTGCTTATATTTTATTATGTTATTTAAAAATAATCAAAAACCATTCGGATTGTAGGTTGAACTTTTTTACTTCATCGTAAAGAATAAAATATTAAATGATGAAATACCAGCGAAATCGGTCAAATAGTTCGTGCTGCCGAATCGACTGAGAAACCAACTGAGATCGGTTGAATCGATATAGAAATCAAATTTAGAGAAACTCGTATTTATTAAAACTCGATTTCTCAGAAACTATTGAACCGATTTCGCTCACATTTTGTATTGTGCCTTTTAAAATTGTATTACTTAAAATGGTGAAAGAAATCGTGTACCTCAAAATTTAAAATGTTTTCGACTATTATTAAATAAAATAATAAAAAATAATAAATATTAACTGAAAGTTATATTTTGCTTTGAGTTCGCTTTGGAAAAATGATATTTATAAATGTGCTAAATCACTCTTCTGACCAAACTATCGGGACAATATTTCCCAGATTGCGCACACCCCTATATTTTGTGGGTCAGAAATCCTAATCAGTCGAAGAAAAGATGGTTCTTCAGAGAAAGTACATTTTTGTGCCTGATTTCGTAACTTAAGATAACGGCAGCACTAATTAATTAGCATATGTGAGGACACCCTCTCGAACCATTAAGATCGAATCCTAGAACGTGAAGATTCAATCCTCAGATCAAAAGTGATTCAGGGTAGTCACTTAATTTATTTATTTATTTGCACACTGTATGCCCGTCATCTGTATACATTACTGATACTATAATTACTGTACATCACTTATCTCTATTAATATTTGATCAATTTAATGATAAAAATAAATATTTGTTCAATCCAAAACGAAAAGGATATATTTATCCACTTTCGCTCCCAAATTAAAAATATAAACGTTGTCAGGTAAGAGTTTTCGAAATAATTTTATGTCCATTTCATGATTTTTAAAACTGAATTATAAAATATTGAAATAATGCAATTTTAGCATTACTAAATTGGGCTCTTTCAAAATATTTATTTCAGGTCCCAAGCCAGGTACACAAGCAAAAATATATCACGGTTGCCATAAAATACATAAACAAATAATAATTCTAAGTTAAATAAAAGACTTTGACGAGAAACAATTGCATTTCAATTAAATCGTGGTGCGATACAATGTTGTATTTAATTAGCTTCATATTAAATAACATTCTAACTTATGTGGAGCAACTTAGCTCAACTTTAACACGCCATTTAGTTTATAAATGATCAGCTGGCACTGACATCATAGGTCACATGCGTGGGTAACCGTGGTCTTCTTCTTGAAGTGCAAGTACCCAATTGTAACTGGCGAATAAAATGTTAACATTAGCATGATGATGATTGTAATATAAATTAGCTTTCATGATTAAAAATAAAATTTGATTTTTATATTTTTTTGAAAATAAACAACTAAGCATTTTTTTTTCCTTGTCAAGTTCAAAGCTCTCTAAATTTGTATCAAAGTTTATCCCAATTAATATTTAATTTAGTCAAATAAAATTATTAATATATACTAAATCAAAATGCATGTACACAAAAATATATACTTAACAAATTTTTTTAACTTTATTACCCTAATAAAACGTTGTTAAAGCACAAAATTATCTCGCATAGCTTTCTATAAGAATGATTTAAATAAAAATTATTTTTAAACATTTGTGTAATTTCATTTATTGACGTTTAACTTGGATTGTTCTAGTAAGACAATACCTAGTTGGATTGTCCTAGTATGAGTTGGATTGCCCTAGTACGACAAATTCACAAATGCTTAATTTTCGTTATCAGTTTCTTTTAGTTTCAGAATGCCTATTAATTAAAAACAGAGGGTACAATTATTCAAAAAATAATTAATTATTTCAAAAATGCATTCGATTTGTATTCTGTGTTAGAGTAATTTATTAATATTCGACGATTAGTTAACAAAATAAGAAAAATTTTAAACATATACAAAAGTATATTCTGTATTAGGATTTCAATCAATAATAGTAAACAAAATAGACTATTATTAATTTTAGTGTTGACGGCATCTGTAAAAATATGTAGTAATTGAGTCGATATTATTTTATTTTACAATAATATATTTTTTATAATCTTATTTTCACAGGTGTAGTTCAGTCCGTTTTAAGTTGGTATGGTTTTGTTCCACTTGGACGTCTGACTTATATGGCATACTTACTTCATCCAATCATTATAATACTGTGTTTTGGACGATTTCGACATTCTATTGCTGCGGATCAAATGTTCTTGGTAAAGTATCAAAAAGGGGGGATACTTATATACATCTTTAAGGGAAGCAAGACGTTTTCGATGT